ACAGCCTTCTTTATGGTCCACAGCCTTCTTTATGGTCTTCACAGCCATACATTACTACTGGATGAAATAGTTTAGGAAATCTGATCTATAATTTATACAAACCTCTTCATAGAAAGCCATACAGAACCTCTAAAAAAATGCTTCATTTTATTCCTAGGAAGCATCTATCATTTCAGAATCTACAAGAACATATAGAACAATTATTAGCAGAAAATGCCAGCTCAGAAGATGGTCAAGGTAGGTATCTATTTGTTAACTATGTTAAGGAGGCAGAATACCATCTTATGAAAATTGAACCTGGTCTTTCTTTTGATCCTATATGGCAGCATTTCTCAAAGCGTGGGTCACAAGAAATAGCTGGCGGTCTTACTAGTTTGGTACAAAATATGCTGAATGCAAAGCATCAAGAAAGTTTCAGAAATCTGTAGGAAGCTTGAGTATTATTTTTTGTTTTTCAACAAGTTGTGTTTCCCTTTCAAAGGAAGAGTAATTATGTCTGGAAGGCAGGCAGCTTCTATGCAAAGCTGACCATCTGACTTGATCCTCACTCTGCAAGGAAGGGAGAAGGGGCTAAAATGCTGTAGTAAGGAGGAAATTGAAAAAGTGTGGAGAGGGATTTACATGCAATAAACACCAGTAGAATTCTTGATGCTCTCTGAGCTTGGTTGTTTGCAGATGTTTCAGGGCACTATTGATGTTACTTAGTTGAGTAATGAAACATCTGCAAGCAAACAACCAAGTTCAGAGAGCACTTAGAACTTCACAGTTCAACCTTGAGCTACAGATATTCCAATCTATTGGAATAAAGCTGCAAGAGAAAGAGAAGATGGGTTATGACTGTTATCTTATAGCCTCCAGAATTTTGCAAGCTACAGCATTTTAAGAGCACTTTAAGAGAAGCTGATTTCAGGGAAGGAAACAGCCTTGGTGAATGAGGGTGGGTGCCTTATGAAACCCAGATTTCAGGAATTATGCATTATCATTGTTTTTGTTTTGCTTATTTCTGTTGAAATTGTTTTATTTTATAAAGTTAAAGGCTTTTATCATTGCTTTTTTTGATATATAGGATAAAATGTAATGGTTAAAGTAGGTGCTATATTTCTTGCCCAATCCCAGTTAAATTATTAGTTTTATGTATGGAAGGGGCAGCACACATTCATTTATCATTTATTACAAAGTTTGAGAACCCCTGATATATGGAGAACTGATGCAGTGACCTGCAGTACATCTGTTAATCACTTTAACACTTATGTTTCCAATAGGAAACAGAGGCTGTTGCTTTGAATAAATACATTTGAAGCAGCTTATGCAGAAGATTTGCTTTAGTAAATTTCCAAAATCTGTCATTCATTGTAAAATGTTCTCCTTTCTTCCATGTACTTTTCCTTGCAATGTAAATCCTGTATTTTTATTCAAAGATATTTATGGAATTGTAAGTGTTAAGTTGCTTGGTATAGTCTTTTTCATAGGCTGCAAAGTCTTCCTTTTATACATTTATAAAAAATAAACATTACATAATTATATTTTATGAAAAATAAGCATTTTTTAAATATTTTATACATCAACATTTACAGTTCTCTTTGGGTGTGCTAAAATGGTTCCAGTAATTAAACATGGTCCTGATATTTTGATATTGTCTAAGTAATTTTGTGAGCAGTGGAAAATGAAGTTCAGTTTTGGGAGAGTCACTATCAGGCAGTGGCAGCAATACTGGGTGGTAGTAGTAAACTCAGTAAGGCAGGTTCCTGTGCTCTGATAACATGTCGTAAGTGTATAATTTTAGTTTATAATCCCTCTTTTGGAGTTTATGGAACATGTTAGTAAATGCCAACTAAGGACTAAAGAAACAGTTTTTAGAAATATTCTCAGATTCAATAGGTGACAAGGATAATCATAGTTACAATTTTCATTGTCTCTTTGTAAAAAATAAGTTGAACATTTCTTTGTGTATCCTTTTTTGAGTAATGCAAAATTTTCAGTGATAGATTTATTGTTATTTCTATTACAATATAAAATATAGTTATTAATTGTACTATTTCCTTTTAAAAAATTATTTCTTCTAGGAAATTGCAAATGTATTGCCTATCATTGCATTCCTTGTTGATTTCCAGTCCTTTCTCATTATTCTTCCTGCAACTTTGTTTCAGATCAAATTGTAGATGGCAGACTTGGTCCTTCAACTGTAGTGCTGGATCATACCAGTGGTTTTGAGGGGCTCCTGCTAGTAGATGATGATCTACTTGGAGTGAGTGTGAAATATTTAATTTGATAATTATAATCCTTGCAGATATGGGAAAAAAAACCTTTCCTTCATAGGTAAATTATTTGTCAGTATTAATATGGGTTAACATTAACTTGAGCTCCCATGTAACAAAAAAAACGTAACTGTAGCTTTCCATTCTAATTTAAAATAAAGGCTCTTGTTCCTTTTTTGCCCGCTACTAGTGTTAAAATTTCACATCCAAAAAGTTTTGCCTGCTGCAGATGTAATCAATTAGTATGATATCCTTGGTGTAATTATGGCTTGGGTACATAAATTTGCAGAGGTAACTGCCAGCCATTGATCAATAAGCCCATTTGGCAGGAAAAAAGCATGAGACAGCTGAAATAAGTGGACATAATCAATTGGTGCATAAAACTCACCGGTGGTCAAAACTTTTTGGTTGGCAAAAATGGAACAGGAGCCAAAATAAATGCTAACTGTTTTATTTTTGTACTTTAAGTTTTTAAGTTAACTGCATGTTAAAGAGGATGGTTTGAACATTATTAACTGTGGTTAATGCAAAGCTAGAATTGCACTTGCATTGTCTCTTGGGGCTTGTAGAAGATGTGTTTTATCTAGAGAAAATGAAACAGGTGCTTCCTCCTGATTACAATAACATTCTGTCAAGTTTTCATTATAATACCCCTTCCTTTGTATTGTCAAAGGCTTTCACGGCCGGAATACAATGGCTGGTGTGGGTCTTCCGGGCTGTGTGGCCGTGTTCTGGAAGTTGTGTTTCCTAATGTTTCGCCAGCATCTGT